GTTGTCTAATTGTCAAATAATTCTGAGTTTTGTTAGTAATTGGCCATTCATATTTGTAAACACTATCAAAGGTTACACGATGACCTGAATACATTCAATATACATTTATAACAGTGCTGGGAAAATTTATATTTAAACAAAGCTCGTTCCGTTCTCCTAAAATAGGATCCAGTTCATCTAAAAAATAACTCATGCCCTTTTCGTCCCATTTTTGTTGAAAAAATATCCACAAACTTGCTATTATTATTACATTAATATTTAAACATAGTTTTTGGATTAATAATTAATTTATAATTATTAAAAACTTTATTAATATCAAAAAATAATATTAAAATTACAAAATGTTGATAACATTATGAAGATATCATGTAAAAATATAATTAGGGTGATCAGATTTCGATGCAAAAATTATTTTTTATAGTAATCGTTAAAACAAATTTTTATTTATAACACCCAGAAAAAAATTAGATACAAAAAATTTAAAGAATCTGTAAAATTCATTCATGTTTCTCATACAATTGAATTTGTTCACGTTCCTCGTTTCTTAATGTTTGAAGCATGCAAAGCTTTGTGTTTATAATGAGAAATTGTTCCAGGAATCTGGTTTTTTTGTGGTACGAATTGCTTTCCAACACTGAATTATAAATATACATTTAGTCGCCATATAAACATTAACACCCAAAATGTGATTATTATTGTACTTTGAAAAGATTTTTGGGTTGGTAGAAGAAAATCGAAATATTACTGTAAACAACCCATGTGGGGTCGGGGATTAGTGTAGACCCTAAGTAACTCCTGCTTATCGTAAAAGGCAATTAAAAGAAGGTAGCGGAGGACAGCGAAAACCGATACTACCGACCATCGGCGAGTGCTGCAGTAGAACTAATGGCAATGGAAGGATTTGACGAAGGCAGTTAGGACATAATCCAAATAATTGCTCGTCAACTGCGACGTGGAAGGAGAAGGATACTATCACTTTAAAATTCCTAGTAAGCAGTATGAAGAGATGCCAGGAGAAATAGTGGAAAACATCAAAACCAACCGCGGAGTTGATAAAATAATATATACAATTTAGCCACAAACTACAACACCCAATACTGTATTTTCAAAAGATTTTTGTGGTGCGGTCAAACAGGATAATCGAAATAGTACTATAAACAACGATAAAAGTCCCGGGGGAAACTATGGGACCAAAAATATACAAGTATAAATGTAAGCGTAGTAGTTGTGTAAATGCGCAAAAAAGTACGGCAGCTGTGCCTGTCACCGATACGTTTAGCGCCAGGGGAAGAGAAAACCACAACAAAATCATTGTCTATAAATTGAATCAGTAATGTATTTGCTGTTTAATTGCACCTTTCCGCCCACCGTGGTTATGGTGCAGTTTGGCTAACCTAACTATGGCCTACGTCACTTGTACTGCACGACACAACCCCGCGAATACCAATAGGATTATAGCTGTTTTGTTCTACACTTGACCACAAACCGGCTGTCCGACCCAGCTTAATAATTAGACGTACAGCGTACTGGGCAATTACAATAAGGTCGCACGTTCTCACACTAAGAAGATACAAATAAAATATCGTGGATTGCCTGTAATTATTATTATTATTATTTTTATTGTATCACCGAGTCCCCCGCCGTGATTATTGATAAAAATATAGCGCCATTAAAATAAACGTGCGAAACGCCCTTCGTAGCACAACAACGACGTAGACTTTAATTAAACGCGAAACCTCAGCGCACCTGGTGATTAAAAGAACGCAATTTATTACTCGCATGCCATTACGGCGACCGAAAGGCGCGATCCTCTGACCGCACTGATAATAATATAATCGTCAGAACCTCTCTCGATACTAAGCTTTGTGTTCGGACCCACGTGAAACAGTAATTATTACTACACGCCACTATATATTATGTCGTATTTATTTACGTTTTAATTATTTTCCGTGTGCTTTTATAGTGTAAAAAAAGCACAAAGGGAAATGCAAAAATAATTATTCCGTTTTCGTGGAACTTAACAGACAAGCTATGAATAGTTCACCGTCATATAATTCGTTCTTATCTTATGGAAAACCCAATATATCTGAACCTTTTTTTAGAGTTTATCAGTTTTCTGAATAACGTATATGTATAAATAATTTAGATTTGCGAATGATTTAAATTATGTATCTATGAGTTTTTTCGATATCTCGTAAAACGAACCGATCTGCGAGCTAAAATACAACACAAAATGTTTAATTATACTTTTAGTTTGGTAAATTCGTATTATTGGGAAGTGAAATGCGTATCAAGAAAAAATAAATTGTACCTGTTCAGATAAAACACTCAAAAGTTATTTACTATTAGTATATGCTTTTTGAATAAAGCTATTTATGTAAAATAAATATTAATATTAAATATATTCAAAAGTATTTCTTGACACATTTTATTAAATACAACTTAAACGAATTTCAAAAAGTGCATATAGCAGAGTTTCATAGGAAATTTAAATGGTGATTTTTACTTTCAATAGAAATTCATTATGTGATAGACATTAATTTATATTGAACATTCAGAACCATTAGAAAATAAAACAGATCTTTTAAAGTTAACAGTATTATTCATGACTTACGACGAATTCCAATAAAAATATGATCAAACGAATTTTATAAAATATAGAGTACTATATTGATATTTTGAAGAATTACTTGTGCTATACACGCCAATAGTATATTCCTAGTTCTTTTTATATACACGTATAACAGTTATTTTCAAAAGGATCAGGTTCTCTTTAATTTTAATGAATAGGCAAAAGAACGATAAAACTAATGTTTTAGAAGCTTTAATTAATGATTAGACGAATTCTGCATACAAATATACATAAAAAATGTCCTTATAACTATCAAATTAATTAATGTACTTTTCATAGTTAATGCAGATTTATGTTCGAGATTCTGGCAAGTATTGTAGTTCATGTAGGTATTTTATACGAAGGCACTAGAGCAGCAATAAAACATCACTTCTGTAACAGACAGTAACAATAATGACTTATAACTCTATTTTTCAAATAATAAATTACAAGAAGTAGTTATTGCCCAATGAGCTTTTCAGAAAGGCCTATTTTTTTAAAATTCTTATTGTTTTTTTGCTTGAATTCATCGGTCATCTGGATTCTTAAGTAATAGGGCAAGATCTACAATCTTTAAAATGTCAGCAACGTTTTCCAGTTGTTGACAGACCGAACGTCAAATCATGAAAATAATCCGAATTGAGTTTTGGTTTTGTTTTACCCAATAAACAGTCAGTTTAGCCATCAATACGTTATTATTATTGCTATTGCGTTTTTAGAAAATCTCGTCTTGAGTAAATTACTTAAAACTTCCCTAAGTCTTACAATGGTTCGTTTAAAAGCGTGAACAATTTCTTTTTTTTTTTTGTCGTTACACTTGTGTGTTAACAAAAACATATAATATAAAAAAACAACTTGAAAGTCCGTGGCATTGTTAGTTTTCTCGTAATTTTTCTGGGGTATTTTTGAATCTATTCCCTTCGTAGGACATGTCGCTATTAATTTTTTTTATTATGCGTTTCTGGAGTTGTTTTTTTTTTGTTCTTTCGACTAAATCAGTTTTACGCGGTAAAATAATTATATACTTACTGTCATAGCAACTACACAGTGTATTTTTCGCACTGGATTATACAATTGACCCGTCGGTTGTCAAAAAAAAAAAAGCGAACAACTTTTAACAAACAAAAGAATTGTGTCACATTTTTTGAAATTGCGAATGGCACATTTCAATTCATGATATAATTAAAATAAACGATGGAATCAAAATAGGTTCACAGCGTATTGTTTGGATATCATCGCAAAATAAATTCGTATTAATTTAAGTTCCGGTAGGATCAGCAAAATAAACACTGCAGCTCTCGATTACTATATCTAATACCGACAATTCTTCTCTTATATGACACTGGTGCCCAAGGATATGTCTTCGCAAAACGCATTCATCAATGGGTCACGTAATCAAAGGTAATGATAATAATATTATAACAGAGGCCAGCGATTGACAAAACTTCATACGTGCCCGTAAAGTCACGGCGTTCATTCCACACTATTATACTGCGATGGAAGCGGCGAGGTATTTTTACATTTAACGCCTGGAATATGTTTCTGTAATTATATTGTGAGATCTCATCCAGACACGAGTACCTACTCTAGAAATTTACCTTATAGCTATTCAACGCTATAATAAAAAAAACAATCTAATTACTATTGCGTTATGGACGCCTGGCGGGCATAGAGTACGTGGTAAACATGAGTTCGTAGATAGATGTGTAACACGCTGTCGTGGCGTTCAAATAATTATGTCGTCGAGGGATGTAGCTGATCTTTTAATCTGAAATAATTTCAACTCAAACGTCCAAGAGCAATTATTGATCTTAACCGGTACTGTTTACATTATGTGCTAAGATCATACGAATCTTTATTCTTCCACGATTCACTTTTGTCTGTCCCATAAACCATAAGACGAAAATAAAAAACTGTGAACTTATATCAAACAGAAATAATTAACATTATAGTTGCTGTTCAAAATATAAAAATGTCATTTTTGTGAATCCTTTTAGTTCAAAATCGATTAATTTTTTCATAAATATAAATGAAGCTAATTATTGTGTGGGTAGTACACGTGGGAATTTTTTTAGTCCAGTTGACCTAGATTTTACTTTAATTTATTTAAAGTATGATTTATTTATTTAGGTATGATTTGTGCACTATAATCTTCCTCTCGTACAGCAATGTTAATTTTATTTTAACGATTGTATGATTGATTGCACGTCATATAAAGTTTGAATAGTAAAGTTCTGAATTTTCATCTATTTAAAAAAATAATCCTGCCCTTAAAAATGATTAGAGTGAACGCTAAAGTTTCATCTGGCCAACAATCTTATTTTTTTACACTTTTATCTCAATAATTGCAAATAGCATGATTTTTAGCATACTTACAGACTATAATTGTACTTCAGTCACTCATAATACACTATTTTTGCCAAAACATTTGAAAATCATAAAGAATACCTATTTGTTTCAACGACACTTAAAATGATAATGGAATAAAAATAACGGGAAATAGTTCAGTTTGAATATCGAAGGGTGTAATTTCAACGGAATTCAATTCATATATGTATAACAAAATGCCTATACTAGGCTCCTTAAATATGTTGACATGGTTCGTAAAGCTATTTTTCTTGATCAGTAACTTTCGAATACGAAAATTTTGTTTGTTTTTAACTTAAAGTACTTTTTTGTTACCCAGTCTTTATAAACGTATTTTTCTTAACAATTTGTTGTGGAAAGTGGTAATTGCTCTTTCACCGTGCCGCGAAGTGCAGTTGCTACACTATATTTATCTTCGTTGTAAAGTAGTTGGCATTTTTCCGCATGGAAAAGGATATCTTTTAAGTTTTTGACATGTCACCGGGGAGTTGATGTTTCGTTGTAACAAATTAAATCTAACAAAGAACGTTTTGTTTGTACCTTTTAAGAGTATTTAAATTTTTAACAGGCTTTAAGTTGTGTTCAATGAATTTGAACTCTACAACTGTAAAGGTTTTGACTGTCACTAAAGTATTTGGTGAACAATGCTCTTGAAAAATTTTAAGGTTAAATATCCGAGAATCAAAAGATGATAAATATTCGGTAATATATTTCGTATGAAATAATGAGGAATAATTATTTACTGTTGATATAATTTCATTTTAGACTTGAGAAACTATTATAATGTAAGGAACAACTTATGTACTTATGAACTTTTCCAACAGTACACCATAAGATTATCTCAAACGTAATTTCTTACCGGAAAACTTGTCAGTAACTTTGAAAACATCTTTGAATGTTTGATAGTATAATTCGATTTAGATTCCTAAAAGAGCTGTTCCTTTATATCACAATTTAACTTGGCAGTTGAAAGAAAATGATATAAGTCACATAAATATTAATACTTATCAGCTTTGTAATAAAAAAACTGCCAGATACGTTTTGCAAGAGCAAGAGGGTGGTGTATATCACGGCCGCCGACTAAAGACTTCAATCGCTATCTGCAGGCAAATGATCATTCATTGAATTGTTCACACAGATGGCGCACTTAATATTATAGCAGGTACGGGGAGACACAGTAGTCATACGTAAAAAAACTGGAACATATTTATTGAAAACGTTTATAATATAAAACTATTAACGTGTTTTGAATATCTTTAAAAAAATATAATTTATATATCATTATATGATGTACGCATAGCTGACAATTATTAAAATGTATTAATCAAAGTAAAATAAAAAATTTACACTTTACTAAGTTATCATAAAAAAATAGCTTAAAATTAGAAAAATAAAATAAAACAATTTTGTTGTCAAGCGTAAAAAAGCATTTGACGCGTGTCCACGGCAGCTTATACATCAGCCCATACAACGGCTCTTCTAGATCTGTCCACACTGGCAACGTGGTTGGTAAATTGATGCCAAGAGACAGCCGTTACTGGCGAACTGCAAAGCAAACAAATACAAAAAGGTTTTTCATAATTATTATCATCACCAAATAATTACCTATGTTCGTTTCTCAAAACGACCAAAGGTCTTCCTGGTTTTGTCACATTCCAAATGAATACTGAACCGTCGGACGATCCAACAGCTACGTGGTCATACTCCAAATTGAATACGGCCCTCGTCCAGTCACAGCCCACCTTGAATCCATCAACTCTAAACATATTAGCATAATTAAAATTAAAATTGAAAAGAAAAAATATAAAGACAACTCTGAAACGGGTAATTAACTTTTTTGACTTGTTAATTAACAAATGATGAAAAGAATCTTGGCGTTTTATAAAACCTCATAACAACTATCAGACTCTTAAAATTCAACTACAGGATGTGATCAAGAGTTATACAGCAGCAGAGCAGTGTTATAAAAACTCGGATTCTAAAGCCGTAACATTTACTTCCTGTGTATACAGGGGGGCAATAAAACCCAACCGCATAGCTTGTAAGGTGCGGTGAGTACCACCAATACGCCATTAACGGACTTTAAGTGAGCGTTTCGGTTTTTTACGAGCTCGTTAATTAGAGCTAAAAACAAACGTGTCCCTACACGAGGACATTGCCGGCTATTAAACTTTAGCAGGACGTGTATAATAAAATAGATTATGCGAATCTGTGGATACTTCTCATGCGTATTCGCCGTGAGTTGAGAATCGCAATCAAAATCGTTGTGTAGAGGTTGTACTAACAAAAACGACAATTGCAAAAAATAATGGACTAGTAAGATAATTATATATTCTCGAGGTCGACTGAAATTGATATCCAGAATTTGTCCTGGTGAGCGCACGTTCTCATTTTGATTATTAACGTTTTTCCACCAGACGCAAGACACGAAAACAGTCTATTATTATTTTCCGGGTGGCTGTTTCCTCATCATCAAAAAATATCCATTAACTCCTAAGAGCAATTTGCCAGTCAAATGTTTACTTTTTTTCATACATTAACATCGACGCCTTCACTCTTAAGTAAAGTGAACGATTAGCGGAACAGTTTGAGGGTGAAAAAATTAGATGCTCTCAATTCTCGACAAAAAGTATATATAACGAGTACAGTTTACAAACGAGAAGGGGAAGACATTTCAAATGAATTTTACGCCAAGGTTGACTTAAAAAATACAAGTAATATCATTCACTCCAAATAACTGAACATATTCTATTAAAAACAAGAAGAATGTAGTTGTCCAGATTTATTTTTCATTTTAATTTCATAGATTTATTTCAACTAGTAATTCAAAAAATCGTTTTAGCGCCTTTAACAGTTATTTATTATACCTGTCGTCTACAGTCGGGTCACGTGTTAACTACAAAAAACGGATAAAGTTCAAACGATAATAAATTAAGATTTATTGAAAGTCTCGAAATTGATGACTCGGACAAGAAGAAAACTTTTTAAACATTTAAGACAAGAATAAAACAATATATCTTAAAAAATTTAAGATCCGAGACCAATTTATTAACCTATCCTAAACATTTTTTCTATAACTAGATCAGCATTTGAAAAGACGTGACTAGATAAACTTAAATGTTACGATTATCTAAAACGTACAAATTAAAAAGTAACGTTTTTGGAGTAAAATAAACACTATTCGGCATTTGATCAAATATAAAAAGAAATTATACAAGTAGCCAATAGACCTAGTTAAAAATTAATATTTTTGGATGATACATATTTAAACCTATCATAAAATAATTTTATGTTAGGTTTTTGATAATTTTTTACTTAACTTTTTGTTGATAAGTTCAAGAAAAGTAATCAAAGTTTATATAGTGATGCATTTAGAAGGAGCTATGAATACTCCATGGATGAACTTTACTTAAATAAAAACAATTTTTGAGATCTTGTATTTTTTTCATCACTTTATAACTTGTGAAAAAATACTTAAAAGTAATCATAAAATTTTATGTTAAAATGTTTTTCTCTTTTTATTTATTTCTAAATAAATCATTGATTTAACTTTGTTTATACATGATTTTTTAAAATTCTATTTCTTTTTATTGACTCATGAATCTTATGATATATATATAGAAAAACATGACTACTTTTTTTAATAAGTCCTATTTATAGAGAAATATTTCCCTTTTTACTCGTCAAAAAATAATGAATTTTTAAACATCAATTTGTCAATGAGAAAATCCACATCAATTCTAATACTCAAGTAAAATTATTTATGAATACAAAAATGATTTGTTTGTTTAACGAAAACGTTGGGAAAAATCTACAAAGAATGATTGGCTGTTGTGTTCGCACTAAAAAATAAAAGTTTTGAAACAATTGTATTTCTCAGAATTTTGTCTCTTTGATGTAAGCAAATACAATTTACTTAAATGAAATTTAGATAAATTTATTCCGTTTAACGGAAAATGTACTTTACGGTGACTTTTAAGTAGCAAATAATCAAAAAAAAAAAACTGTATATATTTCTAATTCAGAAAAATTAAATTCACAGAATATGTGAATTGTTACTTGAAACCTTTCAGCATGAGTAGAAATAAAGAAAAACGAAACTTTTATTATACTAAAATTATTCACCGCTTTTTTCATGTTTAAAGCATTCAATAACCANTTTTATTATACTAAAATTATTCACCGCTTGTTTCATGTTTCAAGCATTCAATAACCAAAAAAAACTTAAAACAAAACGAAAAATAAACTTTTGGGGATAATTTCTAAGTAAAACTCCGTTTTGGTCGCCCTCGAGTTAAAGTAAAGTTGTAAATAGAACGTTAAATTTGTTTTGCAACAAAAATAAATAAATATATAAAAAACCATGGGAAACGACAGCAATATATGTCAATACTACAGAGTATTGTGATATGCAAGAGCAAAGCTTCCGAGTCCGCGGTTGACCCGAGTAATAAATAAAAATTTATATTTTTATAGTAGTAATAACAATATAAATAAATGACTTGCTCGAATGTGTTGATTATTTTGTTTGTCCTGAGGTCGATAAGCCGCAAGGTATCATCTCGTACGCAACTCAATAGGTAGTTACAATCTGAAACATAGAAATTAAATTAATAGTTAATAATTAATATATAGCTAATATATCATGTGTTTGTATACACGTGTCTAATAATAAAAACTATAGTTCTACGAGGTGTTCTTTAACTATTAACAAAAAAAACATCAACGCATAACAATATCAACACTTTGTTGTTCGAACACACTAGTCGGCGGTGTAGAGTGTTCAAATAAACGCGGCCCGGTAATTGATTTTGTTTAACAACTATGCATCCCCTAAAACATTTGTTAGTACTCATTGAGTTTATTCATTCGTCTGTTGTGATTTATTTGTTTCATTATGAAACACTATTGGAACGCTATAAATACCTGCTGGATGATAATACTACACGTAAACGTCTTAATTAAATTCTAATCCGTTTAAGAATGAAAAATTTGATTCGCCATAAAATACCAAGAAAGTATTTTGGTCTGTCTACATTTCGAACAACATAATTTAATGTCAGCTCGGATAACAAATTTCGTGTATTAATCATCACGTGGGAAGTTTTCGCATTATTATAATTAACATTACTTTTAATCTGACAAAGAATATACCGCGCAAGATTGAGAAACGACGTCAGGACACGGCTTTTAGTTTAATTTAATTGAAAATCATTTATATTTTCTAAACGGCCAAGTAATTAAACATAGAATACAAATTTCAGTGATTAATTAGTGTAATTCATCTCGTGCGGGACAAAGAAGATATTCAAATGCAGTAATAAATAATTTATTTGATTACTATTAATCGATTAGTTAACAGGAGGGTGACCTCACTGTTAAAATAATCACGATAATATTAATATTTTTGAGCGGTTCATTAGGTACGATTGTTAATGAGTACACGCTTGTCTTTCGGAGAAAATATTTATTATTATTTAGTTATTCGAATACAAACTAGACACGGCGCGGCGTTTCACAAAAAATGTAAAATAACCGACTGTTTAAATGCTGAATACTACTAGATTAAATTCACGGAATTTGGCATTTACTGGCCATCGTACCCACTTGGCCTTTCGGTGTAATAGTTACAGTATAATTTCATCGTTATTCGGTAAACATGTTTATTTAGGTATGATTATTTTATTCACATAAAATGCAAAACACCTCGATGAGTGTACAATACACGACCCATATTTTGTTGCAATATGAATGTAGAACGAGTTTTTTTCTCGCATTCGAGTAAATTCAATTTGATTAGTTTGAATTTCCGTATTAGCATAAGAAGAGTTTTTTAGGTAATGCACCGGCAGAAAGTGAACTCGCGTGTTTCGTTGAAAATCGTGGGACGGTTGTTGAAATCCAAAGCAGAACGTATTGTTTGGTTTCCTTGACGGGGGGAGGGGAGGGGAAACGCAGTTCCGACGAAAGGAATGAACTGATTGCAATTGTAAAACAATTTTAATTGAAAAACTGCAGCAAATACAAATACTTAACATGGTTATGCGTGTTTATTTTTTATCCAATTTAGAAAAGTCCACGTGAACATCGTATAATATTCGCACTGCACAGCGGGTGGTACATAAGCAGCCTAACCTGTGTGCTATCGATGATCATTAAACGATCTTCTTATATGAATTTAATAATACACGTGCAATACATAAGTTTAACGGGCACACATATTATTTTCATCTTCTCGATGGAATTTCGCAAATCTATTGCTCCGTCAAGTACTTATTTGCTTTGGTCAAGACAAATAATAACGTTTGCAACCGATATTGGTCGCAGAACGCAGTTTTTTGATTCATACGTTCTGTAATTACTCATAACGGTCAAAGTAATATTTGTTTTCACGTCTCAAGTGCCTCTAATTAACGGACATAAACACACGTTTCGATCATCCGGTACGGTGTTTAGGTTTCAATTTTTCTCTTCTCGTATAATAATTCCTAAAAACGTCTGTTCAAAACGTTTTTCAAAAAAATAATACAAATTTCGAACAGTAATTGTTCGACGTTTTCTTTGTTAGAGTATTTTTTCAGCGCGGAAATGAACATAGGTAACTGACCAATATCATGGTCAAACTACGTGTGGATTTTCATTGTCTTATTCAAATCACTTACCGCACTAGTTTGTTTATTACTTTTGAAATACAAATAAGTGCTCTGGATTTATAGCACAATAGTAACAGCACATAAATTAAAACCGCGTCCCTTAAGTTTTTCGACAACAATGAAACTATTTATGCCGCAGAGTATTTGCATTCGCAAGAATTCACAATTTGAATATCGAAACTACACTATGATTATAATGTTTTGCGGGATATGTAATGTTAATTTTATGGCAACTATTTTAATTAACTCGGAATAGTTTTATGTATAACATTCAAATTTAATGTAGAAGTTATTTAAATACACAATTAAAACGCTTCAATGAAAACATTTCTCTTGATTTTTAATTATAAATCCTCACCAATTCAAAAATACAAATTCAGCTATTCACATCTTATTTGAAATTTATTTTTATAATTGGCACACGAATTGCATACGTTTATAAAAACGGTTTTGATGAAAATAATATTCATTGACTACGAATGCAATTACGACAGCATTAATATAATCAGTAAGTTTGTAAAGGTAGCAGTAATTTATAATTGTCACTATCATTTTATTCGTGTACTAAGAAATGTATCTCAATAATCGCCAACCGAATAAATACAATTTTTATATAAAATATTTCTACACTGGAATATTAACCGAAAACAACAATGTCGCCACGCTTCCTATGCTTTAATGAACTGTGTATAGTTTTTGGGTTTTTCTACGGTTTTCCGAGTTCAGTAATTACTACACTTGACCTTTATAATGGGACAATCTCGATTTCAAAAATAACAGCCTAAAGTGTATTTAGGAACTTTTAGAATTGTCGACGATAAAATAATTAAACGGTTGTAAAAAACGCAATATGCGAAGAAAGATAGGCGATATCCACTTACACTTACACGGAACGATTTGGAGTTTTCGCTAAAATGATCAACTCACACATAACACAATACATTACAATGAGTGTTAATCATATTTTAATTTGAAAATGACGTGTCCTTTGCACAAACAGAGCAATACGCGTTATTAAAATAGGCGAATACGAATTTTACAACCGTTTGCCAGACATCTACGCGTTGTGCGTCTGGGAAACCATCGCACAAGTCCCACAGGCTGGATGAGATCGTGTGCAGATGCGTTATTGGAGATAATGATAATTTCCATTGGGTTTTTTTTTTATTTTTCTCGCCTATAAAGCGCGAACCGTGAGTTATACCCTCGCACTAGGCTACAGCAGCATTGCAATGACCAGCATAGTTTTATGGTCGTGGCGACACCGGACGCAATCTCCATTCAAACACACCGGTGGTTTTTTGCACGGGTATATCGCGCCAGAGAGAAACGGACACTGTTGACGAAGGAATACCGAAGAGTTATTTAATGAGTGTAGTGAATCGTGCGCCGTGTGCGACCATATTTACAATGATAATAAGTAGCCCACTAGGACAAAGGCCTATTTCAATAGATTGTAAATAAAAAGCAGTAGGTGGACTGTGATCGAAAGTAGGAATCGCATATGTTCAGTCGAATGCGGAAATCCGAATGGCAAAAGTAAAAAAATTATACCCGGCGGTTGATAAGCCTCGAGAAAACGGCCAAGAGAGAGAGACATTATAAATAAGTTTCTGCTTTGTATAATTGAAATCGAATGCATTGGCTTCCTTCGATCGTGTTCTATGGCCATTTTGTAAATACGCGGTAAGTAATAAAACGTACGGTCTTACAGAACGGCACACTATCAAACAGTGGGATCTTTGATGTCCCATAAAGTCCGTACTAAATCAGTTTTACGTACCAAATAAATACACTCGACCGGAGTAATCTACTGCCTACGATCGTTTGAACTAAACGCGATACGTTTGACGTTAATCAACTACTAGGTCCGTTGACCTTAATGATTAAATGTCCAAGTTGTTTATGTTCACAGCCTGTAATTATAAGGACCCAAATAACTACTCGAACGCAGACATAAAACGGATTAATTTCGGTTGACAACGACATTGTGGATACGTAATATTAACATAACAGTAATTTCATAGAACAATAACAACCTACCGGAGGAATTTTCACGAGCCCAACTCATTGCATCCGATCCTGTCAAATAGAGTCTGAAATCACTGACACGTATAATAAACATTCTACTAGGTCCACCACTGGAGCATTGTAATTATGGACATTGCGCAGTGACTCGGCCTTCAGAGGTCAATGTTTTTACCGAGTAAACCGTTCGAGTCTTCGCCAGCGAACGCCGGAACCACTTGTGCGGGCACAAGTAAAATTTCACCGTGAAAACACGACAATTAACTGAAAACGGCCTAAAGAGAGTTTCATTGATAGTTAATAACAACGAGATTAAATATTACAAGAAGAAGCGCGAGGCTCGAGAATAAGTTGCGTTGGGAACGCGTCAAGTGTCGCCCTTTTATGCGCGTGCAAGACAGTTGTGCACCTGTTTCAGGTCGTCTGTAGAACATGAAATAATATGCCGAGCGACCAGTCGGCTCTATGGAGACTACACAAGTCCACTTGTATTCGTACGATTTAATTGCACTACGTTATGCCCGTGAACTGTTCGACAATAATTATTCATGCGAGAGATGACAAAAATCGCATACACCAAACGATAATCGAACTCTGGTAATGACAATCCATCGAGACGCGTCCTAGTTACAGACGACAATGTCGACGCGGTTAAAAAAAGAACATAATAAATGGAATTTATTTTCGACGCACAAAAAACGTTCGGAAATTCTACAGTGTACACAAAATCGTGCGCCAATAATTAATAGGTTTACTCGGTCGGATTAAACTATTATTAATATTATTAGGAAAATCATCAATCATATAAACGTCCGGCGCATCAAAAATCACGTTTTTTGCCAACAATCTGGTTTGCCGTTCGATCATTTTTCCATCATTAAATTGAAATTTAGTCGAAACTCACATTTTTATGGCGCACTAAAACTATTCTATTAAAGTGCATGTATAATTACATGCAAATTTTAAACAAGTTAAAGTTAAACGATCAAGCCAGATGATCAGATCCGGAAAAATTAATTAAAACTATTAATTTCAATCAATTTTTAATGATAGATAATTATGATTTTGCCGAGAATTTTCGTCAAAAAAAAAAAAATTTAATTATAAATGATTTCTTTACAAGAATACCGTTAAAAACGAAATATTTTTGCCAATAACAATAATATTTTTCGTTGTTTTATAGAAAAATTTAATTATGAAAGAAACTGATTTTATAGATTTACTATGGATAATCTAACAATGAGTTAATTAAACAAAATCTAATACCATAAAATAATACATTATAATAATTATACCTTTTTATAAGAAATAATTAACAAGTTCCCGTAGTATTTTACAAAACAAATCAACATGAATACTTTGAAAATTTAATTTATTTTCAATAACTTTGCATTCATTTGATAAATCAACAAGAAAATTCACTAAATTATTCTTTTATTTAATTAGAAAATATAATATTTCAACGGAGAACAACTCAATTATGCATATCGACATACAATCAAGAGCTTATTATAAAAATATCGTTAACGTCCTCGCTCACTCTACACGCCAAATAAAAATATACGCAGAACACAATATCTAGATTAAAAAAACAATAGCGAAGTTTCCCTAAGAAATATAATCGAGACTGTAGAAAATCTTAGAGCATAAAGTGTTCTAATTAAAATTTTTTATGACGTATACATTTCGCCCTTAATAATTGATGATAATATTTAAATAATATTATTTGCACAATAACCGCCTGATAAATGCGTAAATGTGCAAATTTTCCCACGAGTAACTAATTAGTAGTCATTAATATTAAAATTAAACAATAAATAATTTTGAAAAACATTTATTTTAAATGTATGAAAGCCCGGCGTTATTCTAACAAATATAACTATTAACATAGCGACGCCGAAACCATTTTTTAATGCGTAGTCGGCTTAACTTTAGGTCTTTATTTTTTATAATCACTCTATAATACACCAAATAATTATCCACGGGTTATTTGAAGTTAACAAAAATTCAATGAGACTTATATTTTGATTAACCAACAAGTTCTTCGTAAGTCTTGATTTTTAATATTTATGGTCATCAACTCGAATCATTGAACAAAATTTGGTATGATCATAATTGCTCAATGAGAATAATTATTACTAGTTTTAGTGACTATAAATTCAAATATCAACTTCTAATAGAAAATAAATGATATTTAATAAGTTTTATTCATACATCGTTGCTGCCTACTTGTATTTTAAACGTCTGATAATTAATTTAAAATGTTTCTGTCGGGTATCTTCATCAGAAATGCATTAGCTAATTAAAAGTTCAAAAACTCTATGTAAATTTTACTTTTAAATAATTAAAAACCGTTTCAGTTATCAATTTATCATGAACTTTTAGAAATTTAAGTTATGTATTATTACCCAACAGATACGTTTTAATACTAGACACACATTTTATAGAATTACCAACATTATTTTATTCATCAACTCTGAAATCATAATCACTGGTAAAGCAAACGACCTGTTAATGTATTCGGAAATCACTGAATAATACAGTGCAAGTGGCAAAAATAACAGTATTTAAGGTAGGCTGGTCTGTGTCCGAGAAAGCTTTTTTAAATAGTACATTTACAACTATAACATCTACATTTCATACGCATCAAGGATTTCTTAATGTTTCATTGTCACTCTCGTACAACGTTTTCGGAGTACTTCATAATGTCTAATCGTAACACTCGTTAGTTAGACCTACGAAACACAATAGTTCGCATAGTCATATCTCCACACACTAACTAAGCACAGGAACACCGTATCGCCTACCTTGAACAGATTCGAAGCCCCAGGATCTGGAACAAACGGCCTAAAAATGACTGAATAGATATTCACACAATCTAAGCAAATGAAACATTATGATTTGTTTGTCTTTAGAAGAAAAACTCTGGAAATTAAAAAAAAACTATCGACCATTATTCATTGTCTGGTCTAAAATAAAGCCTTTGCCACGCGAGTCGAACGGAGTTGAAAAATATGAATTTCGCGTCATTATATTCCGTTCTTATATGCCGTGGGCAAATTTAAGCCATCGACTATTTTAATTACTCGGAGTAGTAACAAATGTTAAATAATACAAGTGGTATTGTCTAAATGTAAAGTCAGCGTGAGAACTGTATGCGATTGCGCGTCTCTATTATGTACTCGATTTGCCAATGATTCATCGTGTAAACCGAACAAGACGGTTTGCCAAACAAACAAATAAATAACATGGAGACGTGCGGGTGCGGGGGTGGGCGCTAACGACGGTTTTGACTTAGGGCCAATAACGAAAAACTCGTTTACCTCTGGATAAGTCCAAAGACGTGACCCGTCCCTGGACTTCGATATCCGTATGCGGCGTTTCGGTCCTCGTGTCCCAGAACCGTATTCTCTTGTCGAAATGGCCACTGATGATGGTCGTGCCGATAGTCTCGGACGTTACCAGGTCGTTGCAGCTGGACCCGGCAAACTTGGTCTCGACGCCTGCGAATGTTAAATGAAACACCTTTAATGATCTGACGTACAAAGATACACACATATTAAAAAGTAAACGTTTGTATACAACAGTGTTGGACCGGCACCAAAAAGTAGCCGTTCAGTTATTAATCAACACGACTGCGAACACCGCCGCGGTCGCCTGTACGTCGTGAGCTTATACACAGCCGATCATTTTAGAACAACATCATTGTAAATTATACTCACACGCTCTGATGCGAAGATCATATATCTTCAACGTGCGGTCGTGGCTGCCGGTTACCACTTTGTTCGGTTCGCCCATGAACTTGGCGGCCATCACTTTGGCGCAGTGTCCGGTGAGCGTATGCTGTACAAATTAAAAAGATAACTCTTATTAGCTATTATTATTACATTCATTAAACAGTAACTGACGCCAATATCAGCATTGAAACAGCACACCGAGTTCAAAGAAAATAACAAATTGGTCACTATTTTATTCTGGACTCGACTAAGTAACATTGGGGTTGAGTCTAGTTTGAAATAGTGAAAACGACAACCACATACTGTGTACGCATTCGTGTTTAGAATTGTCGCATTTTCAATTATTTGAGGATAATAAGGCGACAACTCCAATAGTTACAATAACCGACGTTGTAAAAGTTAAACTCCATTAAATTTGCAAGCCGGTTGGCGCTTAAAAAAATATTTAAAATCAGTTTCCCTGTTGGCGAAAACCGACCGACCAGCGAACGAGTACAAGCTCATAAAAACGGTTTGTTATGAAAATATCATGTAGTCTATATATAACTGGTATGTTAATAATGACAAATCTAGCGTTTAATACTACATATCGAAACAGTAAAAAATGTCTATTTATATCTATGACAACTAAACAGCACCATTGGCGTTTTTTAATGAACACATTTCTATAGGCCTAAAGAATCATGCGATGGAAACATTCCAAGCGGCTATAAATATCTTTAATTTCTTTTGTAGGCTAAGGCTACAGAGCCTAGGTGAATTCTAGTGAATCGCGTTCATTGCAGACGATGTGCGCAACGCGTTATGAAAATAAACTGACAAATATCAGACGAACAACAAGTGTCGGAAATCACGAACAAATTTCGGTTAGCGCAGCTAGATTTGTTTCTCTTAAAAAACGACACGTCCGGCTGGCGGTGGAAAATTTACCGGAAATGACGTGGAAAAAAAAAATAGAAGCGGATAGAGACGACACTTATTCGCTTTCGCATAGGTCGTCATTCAGGTGGTGGTGTGCGGCCGAGGGGAACGCGGATTG